TAGGCTCCGCCCATATAGTTACTTACTTCGCGTTTTGGAACGGCGTAAGGTTAACCCTGCTACTCAGAGTAGAGTTTTGGAACGTATGACGGTAGTACGCGCGGAGCGAGACCGACCGTGACTCTTTACGCGACGCGACGATTAATTCAAGGTAATTGTTTTATTATGTAATTATCTCCTATAATTATCTTATTCTATATATTACTGTTACTTATTTTACTGTTTATACTACGTTTACGTGAGTGTTTATATACAGGTTAACCTATATATATTGACGGCAGGGAGCTGATAGTGCTGATACTGAGATCAAGGAGCCTGTTCACACGAGGCGTTTCTGCCGCGCGATTGCGGCCGCGCGTTAACGTTTGCACGAGCCGCACGCTGTCACGAGGTAAGGTGCGACAACGCGCGCATACGCGCGTACACGAAACGGCAGTAACACCGTAATCGTGCCGGCGATATACTGAATTTGAATTGCTTCGTGCTTATCTGGAGATTTCGTATCCCTACATCGTGTTACCACCGCTGCCGGAAAAGAAGGTTCTCTACGCTTGGCAGAAAGTGACGACTGACACGTTCGATCCCGACTTCGTTGATCGCGGAAGAGCTGGACTCGAGGTACGTTTCCGATTTGCAATTATAACAGTATCGTGCGATGAATGTTGTACCCAATTATAACCTCAAATGAAGTTGTGCACGTTGCTAGTATTCTGATTATACAATACATTTTTACTTTGTAGAGGTATATATATTGACAGCAGAGAGCTGATACCGAGGAGATCAAGGAACCTGTTCACAGGAGGTGTTTCTGCCGCGCGTACATAATATGTTCCCTGCTGAAAATGACCGATTAAATCCGATTGGTTCCGTATTAAATTTGGTGAAATTGAATCGGAATGAATGCGTTTTCAATCCGGTTAATCGGATGCCCGATTGGAAGTGAATCGGTTCTAATAACAAATCAATCGGAATCGTTTTTAATTCGGCATTTCCGGATTGATCTGAATCCGTCGTTATCAGTTTCAATTGTATTAATGCACATCCATTTTAATCGGGTGAATAAAGTGAGCACATGAATCGTGTTGAATCCGCATCAATCGTAAAATTTTAATACAACACCGAAATCGGATTTAATGCGATATTTCCGGATTCATTTGAATCCGACTGAATCGGTTTCAATCGTATTAATCCTAATCCATTTTAATAGGGTAAATAAAATGACCACATGAATCGTATTCAATCCGCATCAATCGTGAAATTTTAATACAACACCGGAATCGGATTTAATGCGATATTTCCGGATTCATCTAAATTCTACTCAATCGGTTTCAATCGTATCTGCGCTTAATCCATTTAAATTGGGTAGTGAAAGTAGCTATGTGAATCGGATTAAATCCGCTTTAATCATTAAAATTGTATATAACACATAATTTTTACGTAATAGAGTTCTTACAGGATTTCCTTTTGGTAAAGTCATGAATTCTATATTTGCAAAATTGTAAATGTTTTTATTTAACCCTTCGAGAACACACAGGGTTAATTTGACCCTTTTTTTTGCCAGAAAAATTTTTAGCCAAAAATATTAAACATAAAAAAATAAAATTTTTTTCGTAAAAACCATTTTTTTTCCAAAAGAACACACTGGTTCAATCTGACCCTACACACACTTTGATCGTCTACCATTTTAAATTGACTAGTGCGATTAGCTTGAAAAAATTCCCAGATGTACTTGGAACATTGTTAAATTAATTGATATAAATAAAAAGTGCCGTTGGAATTATTTACATATTTTAAAAAATTAAAAAAAAAAAAAATTATTTTTGAATCTTTTTGAATTTTTAAAAATATGTAAATAATTCCAATGGCACTTTTATTTATATCAATTGACATAACAATGTTCCAAGTACATCTGGGAATTTTGTCAAGTTAATTGCACTCGTCAATTTAAAATAGTGGACGATCAAAGTGTGTGTAGGGTCAGATTGACCCAGTGTTCTCTGTGAATGAAAAAAAAGGTGTGTTTTTGAAGGGTTAAATAAATACTGCATATTTTGTAATAAATTTGTAGTACAAAGAACGGAATTATAATAAAGTAGTAAATAATCCTGTTTATATATCCGGAATTCACGGATTCTATCAGTTTGAATCGGTCAGTCAATCCGTTTAAATCATTATAATTTCGTGATTTCGGGGTTCACGAAATCATAACAATTTAGACTGATTCAAACCGATAGAAAACAAGTGAAATTACATCTTTGAGTACGAATCCGTTTCAATCGTTTCCAATCGGTATAATCGTTATGAAATCATACACGCAAAAAATTTTTCTCGAATAATGTAGAATACTTATAATAAAATTTACTAGATTTGCATCGCACCGGTAGGATGTACGCGTATTCAACCGGAAATTAATATATGACAATAGAAAATTAATAGTTTGATCAGATACATCTTGTAACCTAAAGGTAAATAAGTTTGCCATACTAATAGTCCGGGAGGTAAGTAGCGACACAAAAGTGTCAGCGATTTGATTAGTCTTGGAACAAAGTAATTTCTCTTGTTTTAATAGTGTTGTTGATGAAATGCAGAGTCTGGCTGCGCTGTCTCGCTGGAATGGGCATTGCGGCGTTTTTGATCTTGTCGAAAAAACACTTATGTTGGAAGAATTTGATTAGTGTTGAGTTTTTATATATTTATTGTTTTTTGTATAAAGAAATGTTTTAGAAGAGTCTGGCATGCAACTGACACTGGAAAATGAGTCTGGCATCCTCCCAAAGTCGTTGTAAAAAGTCGATTTGTAGAATCATTTGATTAGAGCTGTAACTTGTCAAGATGGTAGTTTAAATATATAAAATTATAAAAAAATAAGTCTGGCTACTTGTACTAGCTGGAAAATTGGTCTGGCACCCCCTTCAAAGTCGTCTGCACGAGCGCGCCGGTAGCTCGTTGCCCGCTGTATCTGTAATATTATTAACGCATTGAAAAAGATTTTACTTGTCCCAAAGGAGAAACGTAAACGATTTCGTGCTTATTGGTAGTGGAATGATGTGTAATTAATTATGTAATAATCAGAAATAAAGTAATTTAAAAATAAAACTATATTTTAAAGTTGTCAACATTATGAAAGTATACGCTTATAAAAAAATCAATTAACTTTATTTATTAAAATTATTAATTTATTTATCTGGATAATCTGTAATCAAACTTTCAATTTCTGATGAACTTTCATTTTCATCATCGGTGAGCTTGATATTGTCGGTATCGTCATCGGATTCTTGTTCGATTTTCTTTGATTGAGTACGTTCATGATCTGAAAATGATTCAAAGTTGAATTTATTATTAAAATTACACGATTTTAATAAGCTGCGATAAAAACAAAACTTTTACGAACTAAACTAATTAACTCGTTTTATTTGCAAAAAAATAATTATTATCTTAAAATCATATTTCTAAAGTCATGATTAAAGGTTTATTAACAGTATTTAAACCAAAACTCTTTATATTTTTATAAACTAAAATTAATTTTGCATTTATTTAAAATAAAATTAATCTATGAAATAGGTATACCTTCATTTTCTTCCTCATTCGATTCAAGTAATATATATCGCTCACGAACGGGGGCAGTTG